CTACAATATTAAAACCTACATTCAATTCCCCTTGGAGGCTTTTCACTATAGGCAAACTGTTTTTACTCGAACTTTTGTTTTACATCAATGAAAAAGGCCTCCATCTTCACTACAATTGTATTTATTGGCTTTTCACTTTTTATCGTCCAAAAGACGCAATTACCGGCTAAGGGAAACCCTGGCGCATTTTCACATCAGAGTTGTGTTTCTATCAAATTGACTTGTTGCAGATCAAAGTCTGTGCGTAAACACGTAGTGCATATAAAATAACTTTTGTGGTTAAATTCCCATGTAAATTCCCAGTTAAATGGGTTTCCATGGCAGTCCTCTGTAGCTCAGTTGGTAGAGCATGGCGCTTGCAACGCCAGGGTTGTGGGTTTGTTTCCCACGGGGGGCCAGTATGAAAATGTATGCACTCACTATAAGTCGCTCTGGATAAGAGCGTCTGCTAAATGACTAAAATGTGAAATGTTCAACTCCAGTTCAATGTAACATCAATAGGTTTAGGCTCAGTGGCGGTCGTGGCCGTTTAAGATGAGGGAGGATGATTATTTTCTTTATAAGCATGGCCTTATTTCTATTACAGCATATTGGATGACTATCATTCATATTCCATTCAACCAGCTCAATGTAACATCGATAGGTTTAGGCTACTACAAATGTTCCCTATACCCATCATGAAGTTGCTTCAACCTAGCCTATGAATGAAAGTTTACAATTTTGAGAATTTTGAGTAATCAAAAAGTGACATTCAATACCACCTTGCACACTCTTGCCTGCATCTAGCTGATCTAGGGAGTGATCATTAGTCCAACAGTTGCAAATGTGAACTTCTATTGGACAAATTCAGGGTCTTTTAATCCCCGTTTCGTTTGCTTCCGTTTAAGAATATATTTTCAACAGAATCGTCGGAAATAATACATCCCTTATAACACGCAAACACAGTTCAAAGATTTAAGAAGTAGTTGACTTCAACCATTGAGATAACAAAATTCTCGTGACACCTATATCTGGTGAGAATATTTTGGTGAATTGTACATTTTCATTTATTGTTTTAATTGTCTTTATGAACAAGTGAGAAATCTCCAGCACTAAATCAAATTACATTTTATTTGTCACATGCGCCGAATACAACAGGTGTAGACTTTACCGTGAAATGCTTCCTTACGAGCCCTTCCAAACGATGCAGAAAGAAAAAATAAATACAAATAGTAACACAAGGATTAAAATAAAATACACAAGAATGGAGCTATATACAGGGAGTACCAGTACTAGAGCACACAAGATGACTACAATTAAATATACAAGAATGTTTTAAATATCATGACAATGCCATACAGTGTATATTATCAATTTCTAAATTAGTTTTTGTCTCAATGTTAATTCTTGTACCTTTCCAGAGAGGCCTTTTCAAGAGACACAAAGCCCTACAGAGGTATGTTAATGAATAACCCCCCCCCCCCCCCAGAATGTTCCTTACGCACAAAAAGCTTATTTCTCTCAAATTTTGTGCAGACATTTGTTTACATCCCTGTTAGTGAGCATTTTTTTCCTTTGCCAAAGTGTGGCATATCAAGAAGCTGATTAAACTGCATGATCATTACACAGGTGCACGTTGTGCTGGGGACAATAAAAGGCCACTCTAAAATGTAAAGTTTTGTCACACAACACAATGCCACAGATGTCTCAAGTTTTGAGGGAGCATGCAATTGGCATGCTGACTGCAGTAATATCCACCAGAGCTGTTGCTAAAGAATTGAATGTTCATTTCTCTACCAACGTCGTTTTAGAGAATTTGACAGTACATCCAACCGTCCTCACAACCGCAGACCACATGTAACCACGCCAGCCTAGGACCTCCTCATCCAGCTTCTTCACCTGCGGGATCGTCTGAGACCAGCCACCTGGACAGCTGATGAGACTGTGGGTTTGCACAACCGAAGAATTTCTGCACAAACTGTCAGAAACCGTCTCAGGGAAGCTCATCTCCGTGCTCGTCATCCTCACCAGTGTCTTGACCTGACTGCAGTTCTGCTTCGTAACCGACTTCAGTGGGCAAATGCTCACCTTCGATAGCCACTGGCAAAATGGAGAAGTGTGCTCTTCACGGATGAATCCCAGTTTCAACTGTACCGGACAGATGGCTCGTGTGGGCGAGCGGTTTGCTGATGTCAACATTGTGAACAGAGTGCCCCATGGTGGCGGGGGGGGGGGGGGGGGGGTTATGCTATGGGCAGGCATAAGCTAAGGACAACGAACACAATTGCATTTTATCGATTGCAATTTTAATGCACAGATACCATGACGAGATCCTGAGGCCCATTGTCACGTGACATTCGCCGCCATCACCTCATGTTTCAGCATGATAATGCATGGCCCCATGTCGCAAGGATCTGTACACAATTCCTGGAAGATGAAAATGTCCATGTTCTTCCATGGCCTGCACACTCACCAGACATGTCACCCATTGACATGTCACCCATGTTTGGGAAGCTCTGGATCGACGTGTACGACAGCGTGTTCCAGTTCCAGCCAATATCCAGCAACTTCGCACAGCCATTGAAGAGGAGTGGGACAACATTCCACAGGCCACAATCAACAGCCTGATCAACTCTATGCGAAGGGTATGTGTTGCACTGCATGAGGCAAATGGTGGTCACAACAGATACTGACTGGTTTTCTTATCCACGCCCCTACTGTTTTAAAGGTATCTGTGACCAACAGATGCATATCTGTATTCTCAGTCATGTGAAATCCATACATTAGAGCCTAATGGATTGATTTCAATTGACTGATTTCCTTATATGAACTGTAACTCAGTAAAATCTTAGAAATTGTTGCATGTTGAGTTTATATTTTTGTTCAATGTACATTCTACAAACCCTACTGAGTATTCCCAACAATTGTTTACTGCGGCACCTAAAATAGTTTTTGCTCTGTAAACCACTATGTATTTCATACACAGTTATTTGCATTGGGGGATTTATTTGACCTTGGAACATTTTTTAAAAACCCACATTTATTGCAAATGTCACTTAAATATGAAAAAATATTAATCATTGTTTATGTTTAGACAATTATTTGTAATGAATAAATACAGGTTATTGACACGTTTGTATTATTACGTGGGGGACTTTTATTTTGAAAATTCCGGAAATTAAATGTTTTGTTCCTGGCAAGACGCTGATCGTGAAAGTAAAGTTAGTCCAGGACCCTACACTGGGGTAAGATAAATATGTGTTTACGTAGAAATAGCCTACTTTACATGTTCCGTGATGTAGCCTAACTTTAAGACTGACATCTTTTCATCTTGATGAATGATTGTGTAATTTTACTACAACGAATAGGCAGACCCACGCACGGTTGTTCTCTCCCTTTTGTTTTCAATGTCTGTTCTGCCTCAGGTGACTCTTCCGTAACTCGGTTTTTATTTGAAATTGCGCTACTGAAGTCACTCGAATTTACACTTTTCTTGAAATATCAAAAGCTATCGCCTTGTCATTATTATTTAAAGCTTGCTTTTTTGTAACTTAAAAAAATGACTAACAGCAGTGTAAAGTACTTATGTTAAAATACTTTAAAGTACTACTTATGTCGTTTTTGGGGGTATCTTTACTTTACTATTTTTATGGTTCACAACTTTTACTTCACTACATTCCTAAAGAAAATAATGTACTTTTTACTCCATACATTCGTTTGTAAATTATGTCTGAGTGTTGGAGTGTGCCCCTTGCTATCCGCAATAAAAGAAAACAAGAAAATGGTGCCGTCTGGTTTCCTTAATATAAGGAATTCTAAATGATTTATACTTTTACTTTTGATACTTAAGTATATTTTAGCAATTCCATTTACTTTTAATACTTAAGTATATTTAAAACCACATACTTTTCGACTTTTACTCAAGTAGTATTTCACTGGGTGACTTTCACTTTTACTTGAGTCATTTTCTATTAAGGTATCTTTTACTTTGACTCAAGTATGACAATTGAGTACTTTTTCCTCCACTGCAAAATAATATAAGTAACACAACATCACATGATCACCAGTCAGCAGCCCAGACTTTGCCTGGCTGTACTGTTTGTTCTTTGCTCTGCTGTGGGGGTAGAACCACCGAGTGTCTATATCCAGACGCGGAACATTGCAAGATTTCCGAGAACGCTTGTGAAACAGAGCAAACAAACCTGGGGCCTCATTTATAAACCGTGTATATGTACAGACTAGACTCCAAAACATGCTTGCGCCAGTTTTCACGCAAAAGTTGCCATTTTAAAAAACGGAACTTGAAGTGAAAATGTACTCACCTTCTCACAAACTTTAGACCATCCGTAGGCACAGTTTCTAGTGGTTGAAGTATAGTTTGAAAACAGGCAAGTAGACTAGTATTTTGTGCAAATGGGGGATATGATGGACAGGCTTATTCATAACAATAAACAGGTTAATAACAAGATGCGATCATTTGCTATTATTTATTTCATTTCCATGATCATTGCAGAATAAATTCTTCACCTTTTCTGGCCGTGATGTGTTCATATTCCAGAAGTAGCCATAGAATTGAGGATCCATAGAATTGAGGATCCATGGCACAGTTTGAAAGCTTGATATGGACTGTAAGTGAAACATTTCTGATTTGCACATTTTGTGGCTTGGCATCTTTTTACTAGCCTTGTATGCTGCGAAACAGAATGTAAGCTTGCGAGATCAGGATGGTTTGTATGAGGCTCTCTTTTCACGCAACAGAAATTCCTGGCACCAAACAGCATGCTCAATTCACAGCATGCTCAATTCACAGTATGCTCAATTCACAATATGCTCAATTCACAGTACGCTCAATTCACAGTATGCCACCACATTTACAAAAGCCAGTTTAAAATGGTCCTACAAAATTACATTATATTTGAATTGTGGATATTTGTTAGAATTTTCCTAACTAGTTCTGTAAGTTTTATGAATACACATCAGTTTCAATTTGAGTGATTAGAGTATGTTTTCTCTACTTCCAGATAAATATTATATTGGTGCTTGGAAGCATTGGATCCTGTATTGCATGTGGTAGAGCCGAGTACAGAATAGGGGATGAATGTTGTCCCATGTGTTCACAAGGTAAGGACCCTCTCTTTACATCATATGAATCACCAGACATTAATACATCATCAACACCAACAGAAAAACATGACATTGTGATTCTCTCTTCTGCAGGAAATCGTGTACATAAGCATTGTACTGAATTCACCAGCACCAGCTGCGTGCCCTGTGTTGATTCTACATTCCTTGATGAGCCCAATGGTCTCATGAAATGCAAAGTGTGTACCAACTGTGATCCAGGTAAGAGTGGTCCTGTGTGTCTGCACTGAAACCCTGACACAAACACTGACATTATGTTATGCTATGAGGATATGTCAGTTGTATGAATGAAATGTGTCTCATATTTTGCATCAGATATAACACACAATGTTTTCTCCATAGGTTTGGGTTTGAAGGTAAAGCAGCCGTGTAGACCTTCATCAGACACTGTCTGTGGGACACTGGAGGGGTTCTACTGTCTAGACCCAACTAAGGATGGTTGTAGAGCAGCCCAGAGACACAGCAGCTGTAAACCTGGTCAATACATCAGCCACACAGGTTGGTCTTCTGTCTCACTCATTATACTAATTGTGTTGTCATAATTCATTTGAGTCAAGTTAACTTCAGTGTGAATAATCATTACAGTTAATGGAATTAAATTAGTAACTAAACTAAATGCAATTTTTAATTAACATTTCAACATGTATTTGTGCAGGAACAACATCTACAGATACTGTGTGTGCTGACTGCATTGGTGATACCTATTCAAATGGATCATTAACATCCTGCCAGCCACACACAGAGTAAGTTCACATATGTTTACATAAATCAAAAGTGTAAGATAAAGACTACAATAATATACTAAAAGTACAAATCTACAATAAAACGGAAAGTTGAATTATCAAATTGGTTTCTCAGACTGTTATATTATGTGTTACAGGTGTAAATCCTTAGGTCTTCAAGAACTTAGACCAGGAACTCATTTGTCCAATTCTGAATGTGGACCACAATCCTCAAAAATAGTAACTGGAATCATAATTGGTGTTGCGGCATCATTCCTAATAATAATAATAATAATAGGATTTGTAATTCTAAGGAGGAAAAAAAGTCCAACAACAGTGACTTTTTCTGCAGTGACAGTAATTGCTGTAGAGGTATGTTGATATCATGTACATTTTAAAGAGTCCATATTTTCATTTTGAACAGTCACTGTGTTAAGGTTAGCTGACCGGTTGTTGTTATTGTTCTACTTTGGGGCTGAACTTGAAATGTTTTATTGAGTAATATGTTTCCTTCTATTAGGCATCATCAGAGTTAGAGGAAACACCAAGCAATGTACAATGAAACAGAAGAAGGTACAGCGTCTTGCATGTGTTAGTTTTGGAAGTAAGTAATGGTGAGTTGTCAAGAACTTCAGCCGTGTGACAAAAGGTGTACGCTCTATTGCTTCACGTTATCAATGCTATGATGACAATTAAGATATGGTCAAAGTGCTATAAAACTATAGCCTCACTCTCACACGGTCCTTGTTCATTACTGGTTTATTCTCTCCCCAGATTCAAGCTCTGGCCACACTTATCATTACAATGCTACCTGAGGTATGTCCAGATTCTGTACACTGTGGTAAATGTGATCTAGATTAAATTTTTTCTTAAAGTTGGTTTCTATGCATATTAATTTTGTAGTGTACAGAGATTCAGCTGACTTTGAAGCTTAACCATGGACCCGATGTCCTGAATCCCTAAAAGATAATTCCAAGGAAATGGCACAATTTTTATTTTTTATATCATGGGGGAAAAGAAAGAAACCTTAGTTGAGAAAAGGTTATGTGGGGGGAAACCCTCTGCTCTGTCTACAGGGAAGGTCAAGTGGGCCCACATAGGTGCAAATTCAAATGTCTGGCAGTTGAAGCTTCAGTACAAAAGGGACTAAAAATGACCCTGGTTAGTTAGCCTTCTAATACAGGTACAGTAGCTGCTTGGAGCGTATGCCCCAGAGAGCAGAGTATGAGGGCGTTAAAGGTTATAAAGCATAATCATGAGGAAATCTACAGATTACAACATCACCAAGACTGGAAAGCAAACATTGTATCTTTGTAAGAGAGCCTAGAACACTTTAAACAGTCTCTGTGCTGATCGCGCTCCAGTGAGTTTTTAATCAAACCGCAGAATGAGACTGAAAATGAAAGTTAATTTAGATTCAATTTCATTTCACAACGCGGCAGCATGTAAATTGTATTTTTATGTAATACATCTTCACTCTCTCCTTCTCAAACTGAACCGAACATAGGCTAGTCCTTTTTGACCTAATCAAACATTATTTTCGGAAGAACCATTTGACTCCCCTCTTGAGCACCGTAGGCCTACACATCCATTGGTTAGGCTGTGTGAGCAGAGCAGGCCGAGGATCACATTAGGAATATCCATTCCAGTGTGTAATGCAGCCTCGTTTTATTTACACCTTCCCAGCAGCTATCTTAGAAATGTTTGTCTCACCTAGGGTGGCAGAATATCCAGGGCTGGGCCTGTTAGGCCCATACATTGTGAACACATAGGAGGTCCAGTACCGGGAAGAAATGTAATCTACACTGAACAAAAATATAAACGCAACATGTAAAGTGTTGGTCCGATATTTCATGAGCTGAAATAAAAGGACCACTCTTACCTGGATCACAATTGGTACACACTTCGCAAAAAACAAATTATTAATTTAAATATTTCATCTATGAAATATAAATCAGTTATTATTAACCTACTAGTTCTGTCCATTTTACTGAAACCTTGTAGAAAAAATGTGGTGGAGAGAAGTAAATTTTTATATTTATTGACTGAATTTGCAGATAACCTAGGTCAGTGTTTCCCAAACTCGGTCCTGGGGAACCCAAGGGGTGTACGTTTTGGTTTTTGCCCTAGCACTACACAGCTGATTCAAATAATGAACTCATCATCAAGCTTTGATTATTTGAGTCAGCTGTGTAGTGCAAGGGCGACAGCCAAATCCTGCATTATTGGACAATTAAAATTAAGTCAAGATGAGTACATGGGGAAAGTTTAAGTACAATGTTTACAAGTTTGTTTTGGGAAGTCTAGTTTTTTAATAATTTAAACGTATGTTTAAACCTCCATTTATGCAGGAACAACATCTACAGATACTGTGTGTTCTGACTGTACTGATGATACTTATTCAGATGGATCATTAACAGCCTGCCAGTCACACACTGGGTAAGTGTGGCTTACACAAATAGTTTCCCCCCTAAATACAAAGTTACCTAACACAAATCTAAAACTGAAAGATGAATGACCAAGTTATAAAGGAATCATTAATGGCCAGTATTTATCTTTTTATAGATGTGAATCCTTGGGACTTCAGGAAATGAAACCAGGATCTCCTTGGTCGGATTCAGAGTGTGGACCACAACTATCCCATTCCACAGCTAGAAGCGGAATGTGTGCTGTGGCATCCATGACAGTTCTCATGATATTAGCTGGAGCTGTTTTCTTATTAATAGTAGTGAGAAAAAGAAAAAACTCAGATTCATTTTAGGAATTGCATCAGTAAATTATTGTTTAGTGTGTGTGTGAATTCTTTTTTAGTGTTTGTGTGAGTATGAGTGAGTTAGAGAGAGTGGTGGCAGGTAGTCTAGCGGTTAAGAGCGCTAGGCCAGTAACCGAAAGGTTGATTGTTCAAATCCACGAGACGACTAGGTGACTAAGGTCGTTGGTTTGAATCGCTGAGCAGACTAGGTGGAAGAAAAAAACATTTTGTCGATTTGCCCTTGAGCAAGGCACTTAACTCTAAGAGCATCTGCTAAATTATTTAAATGTAAACATTTTGAGTGTGTGCACCCCCCTGTCAATCCAAAACTTCCTGTCCATTTGGATTAAGTATTTCTCAGACTATCATAGTAATAACTAACCAAATTATACTTGTTTTGCATCTTGTTTTTCCAGAGTGGAAACAGAAGAGACATAGTGTTTTAAATCAGGGGTTCGAACCAGTTCAGGGAACAGAACCAAAACAGAACCAACATTTATTTCAAGAAACCGTAACTGAACTGGGTACAGAAGTGATCTCTAGTCTTCTGGAACAGAACCGTTATTTACAAATCTTGAGAACAGGTTTATATAATGTTATTTTATGTTCCAAAAGTATTCCTAATGTCTAGTATATAATTATGTAATTCAGTGAAGTTATGATGCTAGTAATAGCCTAAACACATTCCAATTCACATCATGATGTTCAGTGCTTCAAGCCATGCGCCCTCCATGTCCACCCTCCACTCTCGCTCTCTCCCCACCCGTGAAATGTCAGGTGCCACACTCCAGAACTGGAGCGTGAAAATATCCACACCGCCGTGGATAAAATGAACTGCAATGCACTTCCACTTTAATTTTGCCTAATCCAATGTGGATTTATCAGGAGTTGACTGTATTCAGCCAAAGTTACTGGGATCTGTGATCTTGATTCACCTGTTATTTAGCCAAAGTTACTGGGATCTGTGATCTTGATTCACCTGTTATTTAGCCAAAGTTACTGGGATCTGTGATCTTGATTCACCTGTTATTTAGCCAAAGTTACTGGGATCTGTGATCTTGATTCACCTGTTATTCAGCCAAAGTTACTGGGATCTGTGATCTTGATTCACCTGTTATTTAGCCAAAGTTACTGGGATCTGTGATCTTGATTCACCTGTTATTTAGCCAAGTTGTTTTGCAACATCCTAGATCACGACCATGTCACTTTTTACTGTTAATTGATTTACAAAAAATTAAATGTGATATGAACAGTCTTTACTTGTGCCTTCTAACCAAACCGGTTTGCTGATTGCTTGTAAATTCTATTTAAATTACCCGATACATTTTACATTACTTGTTTTTCTGAACAGTAATTTGTATGGGCACAAAACACTTGTACATTTGTTAATATTGTGAAAATAATCAACATCCATTCAGCAAGTGTACCTTCTTTTTTGCTTTTAATTTGACAAATATTTTTTGTGTTTATTTTAATAAATGAAGCTTCATCACATTTCAATCAGACTACCCCCTAGACCAGGGGTGGGGAAACCTTTTGGCTCAAGGGCCACGTTGAGTTTTTGAAACCAAGTGAAGGGCCACATACTATATGCGTGACAAAACATGTGAAGCCTTTATTCATTTTCACATTGACACGCAACTACTAGTGACCTGTAGGTGTACTTAGGCTTGCAGAACAATTCTACCCTTGTTTATTTGTGATTTTCCTTTTTACAAAATTGATATTTATAATGTCACAGACACCGTCAAACACACACAGATCCTGCATCTCTACCCTTGTAAAGTACAATCAAACGTACAGTCACAATATGCAAACTTAAAAATATATATTATATGACTGGAGACATGCTAAATGTAACAGCAGATGTGTAAAAAAATAATCTAACATTTGAGTGAAACATATGGTTAGAGCATCTGTTTCATTTGGGTGGTCTGTTTTTGAAAGCATATTAAGGAACAATTCTCATCTCCATTGTGAGCCATATTGACAGTTATCCAATCACCTCAGCCCAAATTTGACTGATTAGTTATTACCTGTATCCAAGTGCATTGCTGGATAATTATCACAGCATACCATCACCATGAAAAGGTGTAATCCTTGCCTACCCCAGTCACAGTTATTTGTGTCTTAATGTGAACAATGGGTCTGGTCACCTCTCTTGGCAAGGGCATCAAAGTCTGGTGTCATCTTTGATGTAGAGATTCTCAGAACAGCTGACAAGTGGTCATTTGTTACATTTGACCTGTGGTGGGATTTGTTGTAATTCATGACTGAGAACGTTTGTTCACACACATATGTGGACCCGAATAAAACAAGCATCCTTTGGGCGTGCTTTTTAATGTTTGGAAACTTTGTTTCATTCAGTGAGCCATAGAACTGGTCTATTGTTGCTGTTTTGTACTTCTCCTTCAAGCCAATTTGTAAGTCGCTCTGGATAAGAGCGTCTGCTAAATGACGTAAATGTAAATGTAAAAGCAATGTCACATTGGATGTCGATGAGCTCCAATTGTGTGTCTGGTGGTGCTTTCTCACTGTCGAAAGACAGGGGGCATGATACAAGCTCCAGCTCAGTCTCAATCTTGATGAAGTCTGAGAAGTGGTGGGAAAACTCAGCATGCAGGTCAATCAAAGTGCTACTGTATGTCTCAGTGCGGCACCGCGTTGTAGGCGCGTTCAGTTCGGCCAGTGTCGGAAAATGAGCGAGAGACCGGCTGCTCATTTGTCTGGAGAACAACATAAGTTTGGCCTTGGAATACAGTTCATGCACAAAAACACAATTTCCCTGCAGTTTCACATTTAGATCGTTCAGATGCCCCAATATGTCCACACCGAAAGCAAAGTCGCCCAGCCAGTCTGTGTTTTTCAACTCTGAGAAGTCGTCAGCTTTACCAACCGTATCAAGGAACATACCTATCTCCCCTCTTAGTTCCCACACACGGCGAAATACTTTTCCCAGGCACATTTGAATGCTACAACAAGTCCTGGTGCTCTGCCTCTGTGTCATTGAACAGCTGAATGAACTGACGATGGTTAAGCCCCCTTGCCCGTATAAAGTTGACAAGTTTTACAACCACTTTGACAACATTTTCCAGCTTTAACACACTTTGACACAGGGCTTCCTGATGAATAATACAGTGAAGAAATATAAATTCCTCCGGGTTAGGGCTTTCTTCTTTTACTTTATCTTTTAAGTAGGCCAATGTTTTTACAGGTTAGATTTGGTGATCCATCTGTTGTGACGTTTGTCAGTTTCCTCCACGGTAGATTCATTTTTTCCAAGCAGGCAGACACCCTGTCATATAAGTCAGAGCCCCTGGTTGTTCCCATCATTGATTCCATCGCAAGAAGTTCCTCTGTTATTTCAAAGTTCTCATTTATTCCTTCAACAAAAATTAAAAGTTGAGCGGTGTCTCTGATGTCAGTACTCTCATCCAATGCTATAGAAAAAAGATCGAAGCCATCTGCTTAGTTAGCATGCTTGCTTGAAGAAAAAAAATACGATTTAGATTATATTCCTTCAAGCTGCATGGCGATGGTCTTGTAGCCCATTCCAGCCTTGTGTAGGTCTACAATCTTGTCCCTGACATCCTTGGAGAGCTCTTTGGTCTTGACCATGGTGGAGAGTTTGGAATCTGATTGATTGATTGCTTCTGTGGACAGGTGTCTTTTATACAGGTAACAAACTGAGATTAGGAGCACTCCCTTTAAGAGTGTGCTCCTAATCTCAGCTCGTTACCTGTATAAAAGACACCTGGGAGCCAGAAATCTTTCTGATTGAGAGGGGGGGGTCAAATACTTATTTCCCTCATTAAAATGCAAATCAATTTATAACATTTTTGACATGCGTTTTTCTGGATTGTTGTTGTTGTTATTCTGTCTCTCACTGTTCAAATAAACCTACCATTAAAATTATTGACTGTGTAGTGTATTGAGATTATGACGTTGTTAAATGTTTAACTGAAAGACTGTTGATTTTAGTATCAAGAGGGAAGGTTTTAGTGTAACGCCACATACAATAGACAGGAAGTGTGTTGTAGACACGGGGATTGGACAGTAGAGGGAGCCACCCACATCTTGGGAGTTTATATATACTGGGGGAAAAACAAAGGAGGGTCAGAAAGCATTGAGATTCATTTGGGACTGCTTCTCCGGACTGCGCGGGTCTGTAGCTTATGCTGTAACCTCGTGATATTAATAAAAGCCTCTAAAACACGGTGCAGCTTAAGTGGATTCTTTGATTGACAGCAATACCCACCAGCATTCGACACGATACCACAACTGATCATTTCTTTGTCAGTGGGCAAACCTTAGTTGAAACCAGGTTCTATGGGGGGAAACCCTCTGTCAACAGGGAAGGTAAAGTGGGCCCACACAGGTGCAAATTCAAATGTCTGGCAGTTGAAGCTTCAGTACAAAGGGGACAAAATGTGAGGACAGACGCTGGGAGACGAGAAGTACAGGTCGTGAACATTTAATGAAAAAACTGATATAACAAAACAAGAACAGCGTCTGGACAGGGGGAACAAAACGACATTAATGCAGACACGGGAATCAACCTGGGGAACAGACAGATATAGAACGGCCAATCAACAAAGTGAAGGAGTCCAGCTGAGTCCAATGAGCGCTGATGCGCGTAACGATGGTGACAGGTGTGCGTAATGATGGGCAGCCTGGCGCCCTCGAGCGCCAGGGAGGGGGAGCGGGAGCAGGCGTGACACAAAAAATGACACTGGTTAGTTAGCGTTATAATACAGGTACAGTAGCTGCTTGGAGCGTGTGCCCCAGAGAGCAGAGTATGAGGGGGCTAAAGGTTATAGCGCAGAAGCATGGGGAAATGTACAGATTACAACATCACCAAGACTGGAAAGCAAACATTGTATCTTTGTAAGAGAGCCTAGAACACTTTAAACAGTTGTCGTATCGAGTGAGTGGTGGCAATTATTGCTGATGAACAAAAGGAGTCTGCTCATACG